CCCCGGTGCACATCAGGCAGTGCCAAGAGTATGGCGAGTGCGGCGTGTACGCCCCCGTCAAGGCTGGTAAGCCGCCCCTAACAATTTTGTTGTTGTTTTGCCAATCCGCACGGACTCTTCCCTTTGCTCACACCCGTGCATATTGCGCATCCACCATGCCCGAAATCACGCGATCCACGGTCCCCCCCGCACCGCCGTCGCTCCCCCATCCTCGTGGTTTTTCCCGCAACCCTGCGCCATGGCGGCCTCTTGCCCAATCAATCCCACCCCTACCTCATCTGACCCCGCGCACACGCAGTCCAAAAGCCCGTGTGGGCTGTCGAATACGTCAAGTCAAAATTCACAGATGCGTGCCTCAAGCAGCTCGACTATGGGATCCGCACCCTTTACAAGGTGCGCACAGGCATGCCCGCGATCACAGTTTCCCAGCCTGCCCACCTCACCCAACAAATATCAACCTTCAGCACCTTGCACGCGCTCCCGTCGCCCCGCCCGCCTTTGAAGCGCGTGCCGCCGCCCCTCGCCCCCGCGTCCCTGACCCCCGGCACCTCGTCCCCGCCCCCTCAGGCGGACCCCCAGCTCTCGAGCGACTGGGTTGAGTGCGCCGGCGTCGCGTACCCCGACCCAGATCCCAGCCAGAATCCCAATCCAAGCACCAGCCCCAGTCTTGGGCCCAGCCCAAGCCCGCCCCCAAGCACCTTCAACAAATCTTGGTGGGCCCCGACGATGGCGGCCGGCCTCCAGTTCAACATCCTGACGATGGCCGCCGCCTTCAATCCCTCCGTGGACCTGCTGCCCGGTGTTCAGGTGTGTGTGTGTGTGTGTGTATGGGGGGGTGGGGACAAAGGAGGAGAGACGTCCGCAATAGTGCGCCTCGGCGGCTGCCACTGCGGCAAGAAGTTGTGCCGCCGCGCCTGGAGCCTGCCTGTCATCAGCGCAAGCGCGCACATGCCTGCAACCTCCCCCTGTTGTGTAGAAGCCCCGAACCTCAACACTTTGCTCATCAACACCCACGACCAACCGTCGCAGGTCTTCATCTTGGACTGGCACGCCGCGACAGCAAACGCCGGCGCGTCGATTACAGGCGCCAGCAGCGTGCCGGTCTGCTGGCTGAGCGTGGGGACTGCCCTGAAGCCGTCCAAGACCAGCACCACCCTCGGGCTGGCGCTGGGGGATTACGGGAAGCGCTTCAAGGGGAAGGATTACTACATTGACATCAAATCTGCAGCCGTCAGGGCCGCCATGATCCAGGCGAGCCCACAAGATCTTGCCCTCCCCCGCCCTCTCCAACGTGTGCGCGCTCCCACTCAAACACCGCCGTGGCGCATTGGTTGCTCTCCGTGCCGCCAGCGTCGGCGTTTTAAGCTGACTGCCTTGTTCACTGCGTGCCGCGCGCCGCCTTTGCCCAGATAATGACGGGCTGCAAGTCTAACGGCTTTGTTGCCATCGTCCTTGGGCTGGCCGACACGTACGCCAAGCGGAACGGCCTCGACTTCTCCGAGGCCGACCAGATCGTCTATAACAGGTGGCTGGCCGACGCAGCGCACAACCTCGGACTGGGCGTCGGGCTGCAGAACGACGTTGACCATATTTCCCAGCTGGTGGACGCCGTCGACTTCTTTGTGAACGAGTGAGCACCTCGATGTTGATGGCGAACCTTGATTGCCGGCTGAACAGGGAGCGGTCTGCAAGCAGGGGGCGGGGGAAAAGGGGCGCGCCTGACAGCGCACGCAGGGGCGACTGACGGTGCACGCAGGGGCGGCCTCGCATCCAGCTATTCAAGCTAGGGCAAAGGGTGGCATGATGTGTTGTTACTGTATAAACTGCACGCACTGACCGGGAAGCTGCCCTCACTCCGCTGCTTGCCGTGCATCCCAACCCTCCCGGCGCCCTCCCGTTTCACCTGCAGGGACTGCGGGCGGAAGAAGGAGTGTGACGCGTACCAAGCGGCCAGATCTGGTAAGGGGCGGTGCCTGCCGCCCCCCCGCGGCTGCCCCGCAGTCATCGCCTCCCATGGCACATTCCACCGGGTCCCCGCGTGCGTGCCCGCCCAACTTCTCCACGCCAGCCTCGCCCGTCAAAGCATTCATGCCAGGCGGCCCGGCGCCCCCGCCGCCTCCGCCTCCCCTGCTCCCAACGAGAACACCCCCCTGCGCCCACGCGCCCGCGCCCCCTCTCGACAGCCAACAAGCCGGTCTTCAATGTGGAGTACTCTGGGTCGGGGTTCAAGGCGGCCTGCAGGTGCACCGCCGAGCTCGGCCTCGCCACAATATCCAAGCGCACCTCCCTCAAGAGCTTGCCACGGGCCACGTGCACGCCGCAGACCAAGCCCTGTACCCTGGTGTGATGCGGGAGCCAAAGACCCCCCAACAATGAGGGCGCGGAGCCACAGCAGCTGCTGCCGTCAGGCCGCACGTCGCACCGCGTCGTGACGTGCGCTCGCAGCGGCGGAGGGCCGCGGCGGCTCTGGCGGCGCGTGTGACGACGCAAGAGCGCCTGGAAAAGGCAGGCGCCCGAATCGCGCCGCTTCCTTCGACTTGAAGGACCCTCAACAGTTGCTTTCCTCCTCAAGACGCTTACTTTGCTGCCTAGTCCATGTTGTTGAACACAAGTCCACGCTTGCAACGTGTGTCCAATGCCCATAATTGCTGGCAGGTCAGAGCGCCGTCACTCCTGCAAGCAAATTTCCGCGCTCCTGGTCACTGTCGCCTCTTTCATGCGCGCATGGCGCACCGCGAATGCGTGTCTCGTGTGTGCAACGTTCCCGCGATGCTTCAACACACGGTGCACCCCACCTGCGGGCTCCAATGTGTTTGCGGACAAGGGGGGCGTGGCTGCCAATCGGCTGGGGTGCGGCATGGGACGGCACTGGTGATAAAGCGGTGTTGGCCAACACCCATGGGGCTGGTCCTCTCACTGTGCACTCAGCCGCCAGACATCAGACACCGGGCCTCTCCGGTGACCAGGCGGACCCACCCTCTGACCTTATGCGTTTCGTTATGTCACCATGGCCCCACACGCGTCCTGTGGCATCACATGCGCCTGTTGGGCTGCTGGCTGCTGCGTGGGCCACCCTACTCCTTTGCTACTTTAATCCACCAAAACACATGCTTCAAAACACGCGTATTCCTGTCCGGCCCATCATATCTGTTCTGGGGGCGGCGACCCGCCCGGGCGGGGAGGGTTCGCCTGTTGTTGCAGAACGGGCCATCGGCGTTTCATCTGGCCGCACTGCAAACCTCTGAGCTGGCCGCGTCGTTGAGCTGCGTTATGGCGAGACGCTGCCCCGCCGGGCGGCTGCATCGCCACTTGCGAGCAGATGCGGTGTTTTGATCCCTGCCAGGCTTTGATGCGCCGAACGCATTCACAATCGTCGACCCCGAAACACCCTCCGCCGCTGATATCAATAGAGCAGGACAGCTTGCTTTGCCAGCACATGTGTGCGCTTGTGTTGTGGGCAGCGCGCACAGAGGGGCCACATGCAGAGGGGTTCGGTGGGTGGCGCCAAGCCGGCCACTGTGTTTTTGGGCTGTCGACCAAGGAGTCTTGATGAGCCAAGGCGCGCGACCAGATATGTCGTCAATTGCGTGCGAATGCTTGCCTCACCAATGGCACTGCGCAACCTCAGCGACTTGCTGAGCTCCCAAATCTTGGCGCTGGTCGCCCACACAAACCTGTTCACCAAAGGTTGACCGTTTGACAAGTGCATCTGAATCTTATGTAACCCAACTGCGATTGAGGCTGATGTGACCGCAGCGTGTGGGCCCTTGGTCCAAGAGCAGTGCCCTGGTCAGCCGAGGTCCAGTTAGTTCGTCGCTGTGCGCACCCTGTACATGGGGTTTTCGCCCCTCGCAAAGAGACAGTGCATTCTATCCACAACTGGTTCGTTCCCCGGGGCTGTCCTTTTTGAAACAGCTCTGCCTGAGGTGGAGCTGTCCCACACAGCTGTCACATGCAGGGAATGGCAGGTCGCGCTGGAGCAGGGTTGTGAAGAGGTGAGTAGAAATCAAGGTGGCATGGGCACACCAGGACATGAGCGTGCCAGTCAGGCCAGCGAATACCAGTGTTGGGTCACATCACCAGGCCAGGCCAGTCGCCTGAGTGACCAACACGGTGCTGTCAGGGAGCGTGTGGCGGACGTACCCAAGCAAGCAGCAAATTTCCAGCTACTTCATGTGCAATCGCGCAAGATTCTCGTTTACAGTGGATTTTGGCATTGCGTCGGATCTCATCCGACCGTAGTGCAGCATGCTCGCGGCTTCCCCGCTGCAGCCATGTCTGTGTAGGCGTCGTGGATTGGCTGCGGGAATCTGCGGTGCATATGTTCGAGGCAGCCATCGTGTTGCGCTTCCGAAGCATGCAGATGGCGAGCGGCGACAGTTCGGCTGCCGGCGTGTCAACTCAGCCAGCGAGCGAAACACCAGAGCCAGGTCTGGCACCAACGACCGGCCCCAGCCCAGCAGCAGCACCAGCAGCATGCCTGCCAAGCGCGTCGTCATAACCGGCGGCTCCAAGGGGTTTGGCTTAGCCCTGGCACGGGAGTGTCTGCGCGCCGGTGACTCCGTTGTCATGTGCGGCCGCACGGGCACGCGCGTCAGCGCCGCGCTCGCCGCGCTGAGCGCCGAGTTTGGCGGCGACCGCGTGCACGGCATGACGGCCGACTGCAGCGTCCCGAGGGACGTGGCGGCGGTTGCTGACCTGGCGGAGGAGCGGATGGGCGGCATTGACCTGTGGATCAACAACGCGGGTGAGGCGTGAGCAGCAGTGCTGCCTGCGCTCGGACCACGTGCGATGGGCCTTATCTGCAAGTAAAGGCATGGCTTTCTTGCTCCACGATTTGCTTCCGCCACATGCGCATTCGCATGAGGTTGTGGCCGAGTCAATAAAATTGCCGCTGCTACTTAACAGCGACGCTTCAATGCACCGCCGATGGCAGCGCACCACCTCCCGTCCCCCTCCACACACACACACACACACACACACACACACACACATGCATGCACACGTTTGTGCCACAGCTGCGCGCGCAACCCCTGCCTCCTGCTGCCGCTGCCAGGCGAGGTGACTTCCAAGAAGCTGCTCGCTGACGTGGACCCCGACGAGATCGTCCGGGTGCGCACGCGCCAGGGCACAGCCCGCCAGCGCCCCTCAACGCGCGATCGCGCTCTGCCAAGCAACGCCCGCGAGCCGGCTCCGACCCGCCATGTTTTGCTTGCAAGCAAAACGCAGCAGCCAGGGCGCGCGGTCCGGCGCGGCGCCCCTGCCTGACACACATGTGGCCATGGGTCCAGGACCGGGTCCCCTGCAAACCTGCCGTGCAGGTGGTGGGGACCAACGTCTTAGGGTCACTGCTAGGCTCCCGCGAGGCCATCCGGGTGATGAGGCGGCAGCCGCCTTCCAAGCAGCCAATCTACCATGTGTTCAACTGCGGCTTTAGCGCGTGGGGCGCCAAGGTGACATGCGGACCCGCCGCGGCCGTCCAGAGGGACTCCGGCAAGGATCCTTGCCGCACCGGGCCGGCCGGCGCGCCCGGCGCGCTGCGCGTGCTGCGTCTCGTGTGGCGGCCCGTGTGGCGAGCCTTGAGCCCTGGCTGGGGGCCCTGAGCCCTCGGTCCTGGAATCCCTTGCACAGAACGTGCAGCCCCCATCATCACCAGGTTCGCGATAGCATCGCCCCTCGCGCCCCGTTTGTTCTGCCCCAAGCGTAGTTCACTAAGTCGGCAGCCACCCACAAGTCCACGAAGCGCGCGCTGACGCAGCTGTGTGAGAGCCTGGCCGCCGAGCTGGCGGAGAGCGGCGTCACCAGCATCGGGGTGCACAACCTCAGCCCAGGTGTGGTGAAGCCACAGAGCACACAGCGGCACCATGCGCACGGACCGGCGCGCTGCTCGACTTGGTATAGCGCGTGGCGCTCCACCCTATAACATCAGCCCTCATGTGCTCCATGCGCCGCATGTGCTGCTGTCATGATACACACCCCCTGGACAGCCGTCTCCAGATGAATTCCAACACCTGATCTGCATGGCTCGACAAACGCGCACCCCGGGGCCCCTGGTGTCTGTCCCGCCCCACCTTCATCATTTGGTCACACAATGGACCCAACATTCGCGCCCCCAGGCATGATGCTGACCGGGCTGCTGCTAAAAGACTCGACCCCGGCCGCGCGCCGCTTCTTCAACGCTCTTGCGGAGGAGCCCGAGACCGTCGCCGCCGCGCTGGCGCAGCGGATACGCGGCGTGCAGGGCAGCGGCGGCAGCGTAGACTACCTTACGCCGGCAGACGCAGCGTTCAGGGTGCTGTCGTCCGTGCCGCAGATTATCAATGGGGGGCGGTTTTTTGACAAGGAGGGCAACAGGGTGCAGCGGCCTGGGGAGGAGTACTCACCAGACGGCGTGCGTCTGCAGGTTCCGATGTAGCAGGCTCGGTAGTGTGACACGGGCGGTGCCGCTCAATCTTCGCATGTCAACAATTAGCGTGTATGGCAGGCATGGTTGCGCGGTGCATGATACACAAATCGCCGGTCTGTCAACTGGCGCGCAGCAGACCTTGAACATGAGGGGGAACTGCAGCATGCAATGGCCAAGGGTGCATATCACCGCACGGCTATGTAGCAAAAGTGTGAGAAATGTAAAGGTGGTTGTTTTCAAACAAACATGCACACCTCACAGCCATTGTCGGGCGGCCGCTTGTTGTGCACCTGAAGAGGATGAGCAGCTCGAGCTGGTGCCGCTTTGCTGCACCCAGCCTGAGCACTTGTGCGGTTGGGTTGCCATCAAGGGCCAGATCCGCATGCAATAATCCGCGGCTGGTTTGATTATATTTCTTTTCAAAACAAACGTTGATACGCAGTTCATCACGAGAGCCAGATCGATTGTGCGCGGGCAGTGCTCAGTTGTCTTTCAACAGCTGATTACCATTTTTACAAGAGTACATAGCAAACCGCTTGACATATCAGGCCCACCGGCGGGCACCACAGCAAGATGGACATCGAGAAGGAGGTGTTTCAGGCGAGAAAATGCAGCCTGGAGTGTTGTAAACAGCTGAAGTTGATTGCACCCTCTGATCCAGGATCAGCATGGGCCTGCTGTTGAACCTGGGGAGCCCCAGCATGCACGACCGCCCAACACCCGCCCTGGTGCAAGCGGCCACTGCAAGTGTGCAGCGGTGCTTGTGCGCGCCGCAGCGACAGCCGCATACCCCTCAGTAGGTGTACATACATGCCTTGACGCGCTGCGCCTGTGCTTGTGGTGCAGGATGCGGAGGACGTGCTGCCGGAGGAGTTCAACCACATGACTGCAGAATCCATCAGCCAGCGGGCGCGGCTGCTGGATAATGAGATCAGGGTGAGCGCTCGGCAGGCCCTCAATAACGCTTATCAGATGCGCTCGCAGGTTTTATAGTGCCTGTGCCTGCAGCGGCGCGAGTCCCAAGGAGAGCGCGTGGCGGCCTCACCGCCGGCACGGCTGAGCGCCTGGCTGCTGCGACAGGCTCGTGCTCGCCCGCCGCGCCTGGCACGCCCAGCTCCCTCGCTTCGACGAGGCCGCCCTTTCAAAGCGGCCCCATCTCACGCGGCTGGCATGACATCAGTCTTACGGCTGCCGCCTGGCGCTCGCTGCGGCCTGCCTGCGGCGTCGCAGCAACCCGATGCGCGCTCACCCGGCTGCAACTGACTTTCTGCACCCAAAGGTCTTGAAGGACGAGAGCCAGCGGTTAAGCCTGGACCAGAGCGGCTACAAGGAGAAGATCAAGGGTGGGCGGCGCCAGGCGCAGCTCTGGGGAGCCAGGCCTGGCCGCTTCGATCGGGGCCAGCGAGCACAGCGGCCCTTGCACGGGCTCGATCGCACGCCGTCCGGGGCAGCGTGAACCTCGGGCTCCCCGCCAAAACATGCACCACACCCCCTGCGCTGCGCGTTGCGTGCCTCCCGCGCAGTTTGCCGCACCCATGCCCTTCCAATTCCACCTTCCTCACATCTCTTTACCCCTCCCCCACCCCGCCCCTTCTACC